AGGGTACTTTTTGACACTGATCCAGATTGTCTGAAGGGAGTTTAGTGAACGCCCATCGACCGAGGTTCTATGACATGTCTGAACGCGCGTGCTTCTGTGGCGTGCCTGAAAACTCATCGGCTTTTGTTGAATTGATTGAATGATTGACTGGCCCGGATGTTGCCGGCCTCCCTATTGAGATTTTGGTGGAGTTTTAGGGTCTAAGTAGGTCGTTCTGGGGTTAGCTTAGGGAATCTGACCTACCTGATACTTCCAGAAAGCTCTATTGCTTCACTGTCCCCTTCTCTACTCCTACCGATTGAGCTATTATCGACCGCCATTATCATCATCATCATCATCGACAGCATGACATCAGTGTTCAACACCGATGCTTCACTACCGTATGTTCTGCTTAATTAATGATGTCTATTAGGCTATCTACCACTCTCATCCGTCTGTTCCCACTGCTTACTGAATACGGACTGCGTATAGTCCGATAACTTCAATCGTCCTGTGAGACCCTTAGCCACGAGGATCTTACGGCAACCTTACTGAAAAGGCCAACTTCGCCTCATCCATTGGGTTTCCTTTGTGTTGCAGAAATGAAAGATGCCCACGCTGATTTTTCTTGTTGTGAAATTAGTGGCGCACTGATTGCTGCAACCAAACCCAGTTTTTCCCAAGTAAAGATGGACACTCGCCGGAAGCTAAATCAACAGTTTCTCTATTTGACTGACAGATTTCACGAACATTCTTCCACTGAGAGGTGTGGAAAAACAATTTAACTTGGGATGAATCACCTCATACCGGTGCAAAACATGATGGCACCAATTGTTGAACAGTGATACAATTTGAGAGTTATAGTTTTAACCAGTATGCAGTCCTTTCAACGAGGTGTTGCCTGCCAACATGATTATACAGAAGTGAGATGGTTAGGGTTTTCAGGTGAGTTCGCAACTGTTACTTAATTCAAATCTTTTATCTATCACAATGGTAGATGCGCCAAGAAGTCGTCTTCAACTGTGGAACCTCACTCCTTTGGGCCATGTTGATACATGGTGAATGCACTGCGGTATAAATTGAATGCAATATTCGCGAAAAATCCAAGCTTAGTGGTTCACGCAGTGATACACCAATAAAATTCTACATCAGTGAGTATCAGACAAGTTGATATCACTGACTATGGAAGCCTCCGGAAGTCAGTTCTGGAACTAGTTACCACTTGTACCGGCGTTGGAGTGGAATTTCTCAAACCTTCTGCTATGTATTTATAATTTACACCTACCTGTAGGTAACTTGTCGCTTGGTTCAACACGTGTTCAGACTCATCTGTCCTTGACGACTTGTGACTATGCCTTAGCTATCCTTATCGACCAACCTGTCACGTGCCCCTTCCCGTTTGGATGTGACCTTCAGTCGCGTCTAATTCAACAGGGCTGTGCCAGTTGTCCTTCGTTGCGGTCCGCGAACGGCAGATTTCTCAGCCCTGATATTCGGAGTATAATTACCTCCGTTTCCCTAAATTCTGAAAAGTTCAGATTTGTTGTCTGTTTTGATAAAGTCCTGTTTGATATTACCGCCTTGAACGGATTATTCTAAGTGTCCTGTTGTGTTTGGACCACCGAGAAAGCGCGCGGCGAACGTCAAGATCTATGGCTGTACGGACCGCATAGAGTGGTCTGGTAAGCTGCTAAGGGGGGCACCAGCAGCTAGCTATCAACCATACGTAACTCCTTAATGAGAAACATTGATGAGAAGAAACGAAACACACCCGGGAGCGGCATGTTCCTTCCACAAACGATTGATGTTTACACATCCATACAGTCACTCTTGTTTTCGATTCCAACAATCGCTTTGTTTAGCACTATAAGCTCTTTTCCATGCCCAACTCAGAGAGGTGGCCAACCCTTGACTTCGCAGGAGAGTATAAAGGAGATCACGAAACGCTTGGGTGCTGTCGGTACTACTCGCTGTTCAGTATGGTGACCGCGTGTTCCTCACTGAGCCTGGTTGGAGACACCAGAAGATATGGCTGCCAACCGATGTCAGTGGCGTTCTTGTTGCCACCTTCTATCCAGATCGCCTGAGTGAATGTCTGGAGGTATAGGCACCTAGGAATGATTGTGGTAAGCTAGCACTAAGTCCCTTCCCCGTCCACGTTTATTCTTTTCTTTAAAATAAGGCTTTCAAATAAATCACTTTTGTGCGGCAGTGAAGCATCAGTGTTGAACACTGATGTCATGCTGTCGGTGATGATGTTGATTGGGTTGACTAACATTTTAACGTCACTGCGAGCAATCTGTGCACCCTACTCGCAGAGCTTAATTATGCTTCAGCTGGTATTGTCAGTATCGATTGATTTCCCCAGTCACAGGAATTTTATAGCTATCATCCGCTTGTACACCAAACTAGGTATATGTGCAGATAAACATTCAATTGCAAAATAGTGTTACCAATGATGTCATAGCAACCAGAAAACTCTGACGGCGTGACCATAGTTTCAACTGAAACACAATTCGACCACTGTGCGGCAGTTAGTTGAAGAATACTACTTACGAGGGATTCAGTTGAGTTCCCCGGTAATAGTGCCTAGCGAAACATTCGTACATTCAAGTACAGCGTAAAATTAATGGAAATGTGGCGAATATAGTTAAGTGCTGGGATGAAACCGATATTGGAACACTCAGGGGATCTCATCCTATCGAAAAAGACACATCTTTATGTCAGAATCTTCGCGTTTGTTAAGAGTTCGTCAAACTAACGACATTCTCGGCTCTAGTTGATTTTATCACGCAAGGCAAATATCGATAGAAGGCAGGGCTCAAGTAGAATTCTTGGAACACAATCTCAAGATCCGGAAGCATTTAAAAATCTTGAATCAGACTTGAGGTCAAGCTAAACACTTCGGAAATATCGCCGCTTTACACTAGACGCTCGGAAACAGTGTGCTTTACCAAGCCTAAATGTTTTGTGCATATAAGCGTACATCAGTACACTTGTATGTACGGAAATACATCAATACAGGGGGGTTACTACCACGCGAAGTTTGAAATTTAGCCTGCGCATGATCAGTCGTCAACCGGTTGTCTCCACAAGTTACTGTCGAAGTATTCTTCAGCTGTAGCACCCTTTCGGTGCTTAACTACCGTGCCACCCGAAGGTGGTACGAGGGCTGAGATACTGCCAAGTTGTCCATACCTAGACAGCGGAAGTCGGGAGCCAGAGGTCGGGTTCGAACCACGAACCTTTCGGTCAGTAAATTCGCGCTCTAACCACTTGGGCCATCTCTTGAAGTATAATATGGCAACTTTCGCGTCATCCGAACTCATCCTCCTGGGGTTTTCGAAGCAAACCAAATGAGATTAAACAGTTTATCAGGCGAAGATACGATATCCCTGACGGAGGGGTCTTTTGGACCTGAGGAACAGCGTTCTCTGCTTCTTGTCAAGATCACTTGAGTGTCCTTAGCTCTTACGGGGACTTCACAAGCTAGTGCAGTTCCCCAGATATGGCATGTCCTTTATTGTGCATTTTTACTGTAGTGGACAGCTGGGTTTTTTTCTGATTTCGGATGAGAACAACTGGGCAGCACGAGTGAATAACTCCTTCAGCCGTGCTTGCAAAACGAATTCTGAAGATGGTCGTTAAATTGCTAAAACGATCGGATATTTTGGCGGAAATTTAGAAGACCCTGTTATATTTGCTGATTTGCCAATCTGTTGTATCATACTGCTCACCCGCTCCAGTGCCGGAAAAAATTACTCACAGAAGGGAACACAACAGCTATACTCCGAACAAACGAGTGCGAGAGCGTGAAAGTGTGTGAGTGCGAAAGTACAGCAGTCTCAAGCTATTTATTGAAGGGACACTGTCTGAAATAGGTCCAACGCTGACGCCCACGGTCTGGCTTTGGTACGAGGCTGCGATGTTGCATTTCGAGGGCGGGGGGCGTTGTCTGACTTTGATCAATGCTAACTCGCGCTGTCTGGGTTTGATACAAGGCTGTGAAGCGCTGCATATTGAGGGGGCGTTGTCTGTCTGGTCAACATCTAGTGGAGCCGAGAGTAGATTCAGGCATTCAGTGGTTGCTCTCAGGAAGCTGACCTTCCTGACACTTCCCCCTTTTGGCCGTTCAACGTAAGATTTTCGAAGCGGATCAAGTTTTAGAGCTTCCACCCTTTTTCTGGTGCGACCGGTACGGCTACACTGCGTTACGTGGGCTACCGAGTTGACTCTACTGTTTATTTGTCAGGCTTCTTTGGTAAAACTAGTTTCTAACAGCCACTTCGCCACAACAACCCCCCCCCCAAGAACTGACGATGCTCCAGACCAAGAGTAACACCTGAAATCAAATTGACCAGGCGTTCAAAACGGTCAGAAACCATCAATCAAAGACTCGCGTGATGGACCCTTCTGCGTGCGCCGAATGCTTCCAATAAGGAGGGCTGAGTTATGGTCCCCACCACAGCTTTTCGCTAAACACTTGATGGCAAGGTACCTATCGTCTGCTCTGCTAAAGTCAGTGACTATTCAGATAGAAAGAATTCGACAAGATTCAGGAGCTAGTTGAACTGAGAATCACTCCTGAAGTCGATCAATCAATCAATCAATCAATCAATCAATCAATCAATCAATCAATCAATCAATCAATCAATCAATCAATCAATCAATCAATCAATCAATCAATCAATCAATCAATCAATCAATCAATCAATCAATCAATCAATCAATCAATCAATCAATCAATCAATCAATCAATCAATCAATCAATCAATCAATCAATCAATCAATCAATCAATCAAATAAACCGATCAGCAGGCGCCTTATGCAGCGAGCAACAGCCTAAAATTGTCGATCGAAAGATTAGGCAATAAAATTCCTCTATATTGATGCGGTAAGTCCAAATAAAGACGAAGCGATTGACCATTTCCGGACTCGACCACACCTTTATTGCGTCGACCCAAGTTCACAAAAAAACCCGTAAAACACTATGTTGTTTTGCTTTCTTGAGAAGAAATTGTTCGGCATAAAAAAGCAAATATGTAAATAGGAAATGGTATAAAAATAAAAACGCCCACACACACCGACGACATCACCGACGTTCGGATAGGGGGCTCTGAACAAAACAAAATTGGAAGAGTTCCGGTGCTGTGGGTCGTTTTGAAGGATCCGGAGTCAATCCAGCACGAAGGAGAGTGAAGGCTTCGGCGCTTGTGTAAACCGATGCACCGGGAGTCAGAGATACGGAACCGTCGGCTTCACCGGATTCTGGTTTTACCTTGGGAAGCAGGGGTGTCTCATCGCAACAAAGCTTGTAGAAGACCCCGTGCATCTCGGGCACATGATACCAAGGTCGTCTGCCCGTGATCAGTTCCAGTAGCACACAGCAGTAGGACCAAATGTCACACGGCTTTCCATAGCCTGACTTGGAACTGCGGCATACCTCAGGAGCCATGTAACAAACCGTACCAGCGATTCCGTGTGCATTGCTGGAAAACGAGTGTAATCGAAGTGAATGACTGAAGTCACCCAGTTTTAAGAGTGGCATGCGCAGGAAGCGGCGCGACTGATCCTGTGGGCCAGTGGCACCGTTCTGAATCGCGTTCGGACGTGCACTCTCAATGGGAGCGGGATGCGCAACTAGAAAGACATTGGATGGTTTGATATCGCGATGTACTATCCCCTAAATGAGGAATGAGAACAAAATCAAGGAGGATAAGTGAAATCAGATGCGATTGAAACGCACTGAAACGGAAGTAGACAACAGTAGCAAGCAATCGAAACAAAAATGACTGATTCCTATTAATATTCCACACTTCCAACCTGAAGAGTATTCTGGAAGGTTCGTGCGTCTGACGTCTGCAGCAATTTGGAGATATTGAGTGGATACATGCGGCACCGCCAAAATTGCTACCTAAGAATCGAACAATAATGATCGTTTAGGTACCGTATCGCCCGAGGGGAATACAAGGTGCGAGGTACTGTCGGCTAACCCAAGCCTATACAAGACCAGTCGAGATGAAGAGATTGGGTTCGAACCATGGAGTTCCCGGTTATCAAGTTCGCTATATCGAGCTCCACCTCAAAGTCTACACTAAAAGGTGGTTAAATACCCATAACAGCAAAACGATGGAAAATAATGCAAACGACCCGTACAATTTCCGTTCATCACAAGGATTGACAACAATACACTTGCATCACATACTACTGGTGCTTAACTACCATACCGTATCTGCAAGGACCCAAGAGGACGTTGACCATACATCAATAAAAAAGTAACCTGAAATTCGTTGTGCGGCTCTGACCACATACATAGTGTAGTCACTGTCAGCTTTAATAATCGCGTACTCGTCGTACAGTGGTTGTAGCTGCCACAGTTTCGTTCACCGATGATTGGGGAGGTGGGGTGGGTAGTTGCGCGTTGTAGGCGGGAGCTGATTAATTGGTGCGTAAATACAGCACTGTCAGTGAACTGTTAAGTGCGGCGATGAGATAGGTATTGAAGGCAATAGCTTTAATGCAAGAGCGCCATTGAGGGCGCGACTGGGCCATGTCTAACAATGTCTCTAGCCATTGATGTGGCCCGTCTCGGGGTCCCTATCCAGGAAGACGGCAATGACCGGCGCAGCTAAGTTTGCTGGTAACGGCTTTCATACTTCGCTGTCAAGTCATTGTTTGACCACCTCTGGCTCTCTTCCACCCTTCACGTGGTTGGGCGAAAAGAGCCCTTCGAGGAAGTCGGTCGACTGGCATACGCAGC